CACTGCACTCCAGTCTGGGTGACAGAGTGAGACTCCAACTCAAAAAAAACAAAAAAACAAAAAAAACTATAGTTCTCTGCCATCTCTCTCTTTTAAAATTTCCCTTGCAATTTATTTGTTGAAGAAACTAGATCATTTGTTAAGTAATATTTTTCACAGTCTGGATTTTGCTGACTGCAACCCTTTGGTGTGGTTTAATATTTTCCTTTCTCCTCTGTTTACTGTAAATTGGTTTTTGGCTCTTAGGAGCTTGATAGATTCAAGCTTGATTTTCTTCTTTCCTTTCCGAAGAAGAAAAGATGCCAGCATAGGTGGTAGTGTAGCTCAACCCTCCCCTTCTTGTCCACCAGCTTGAGCCACACTGACCCCTGTCCCACTCGCCTCAGAAGCCAGTTCCAGCCTCAGGACCTTTGCAGTCGCTGTTGCCTCTGCCTGTAACCCTTCCCTCCCTTTTGCATGGGCGGCTGCCTCATGTCACTCAGCCCTCAGCCTAAGTAAATGTCACTCCTCAGAGTCGCCCCTCCAGGACCTCTCTGTCTGCTTCACAGCACTTCTCACCTCCAGGCTCTTTATGGGATCTTGTTTTGTTGGCTTGTTTAATGTCTGCCTCCTCCCCCTGACCGAGAACATCAGCTCCCTGGGGACAAGAGCCTCCTCTGTCATGGTCACAGCTGTGTCCCTAGCACCTGGAATCTGTCTGGGCCATGGTAGGTGCCCAGCAAAGGCTTGCTGAATGAGATGCTTCCATGTTGGTCAGAGGCTGCCTCTCAGTCACTTCATTCTCTGTGTGCGCAGGCAACCAAAGGAGGTACCATCAAAGCTGCTTCTGGATTCAATGCCACCGAAGATGCCCAGACACTAAGGAAGGCCATGAAAGGGTTGGGTAAGTGTCTCACTGGAGGTGAATCCTCCTTCAATGTACATCAGAGCCACACAGGAGTATGCTGGGTCCACTGGCAATCCTGGGTGGGTCTCCCTTTAAGAAACATGGGAACAAGTTGACTTTCCAGACAAATGGGATGGAGGGCATTAATTCATTACTTTAATAAAGTACTGTGAATTTAATGTACACACTATGTAGTCCTCCAGTTGTTTATACTTGCCTTGTATGACAACATTATGAAGCGATGTGTAAAACTTTAGAAATGTATTTGTTTACCAGTTAGTGCTAGTATGTATACAGTGGATAAAGTTTACAAAATATTTTCACAAACATTACCTCATTGGATATACACAGCAGCCTGTGATTTAGTGAAAGCAGCTATGGCTATTATTGTAGCCCCATTTTACAGATGTGAAACTGGGCCCCAAGGGACTCTCACAAAGTCACATAGTGAGTGGTACTGAGCCATGGCTCACAGTTGGCGGAGCCCGGTCCTAGGTTCAGGCCTGCCCACTCTAAGTCCATGTTCTTTCCCTTGAGCCCCTCTGCTTGTTGCTGCAGTGGTAAGCACAGCTGAGACAGCACTGACATGCAGTGTGTGACTTTAAGGTGAGAAGGCTGGTAGTGTGTTCCAGTGCACTACCCTCCAGTTAGCTCCCTGAGGCCAAGAGCCTCATGCTGGGTAGATGCAGTCATATGGGCCTCTTGCAGGCTGCCTGGCCTATAGTCCCTGCCTCCAAGACCTTGCCTGGATGGACTTTCGGTGAGAGAAGTATCCTCTGGTTCTTAGTCGCTATTTAGAAATTCCTTGAGGTTTGGGTAAAAAAAACAAACAACATTTTATCATGAGACCTTATTTCCCAGTCTTTTTTTTTTTTTTTTTTTTG